CCCATTGCTCGTTGGACCCTCTGGTCCGGTCTAAGTGAGGACCCTCCGGTCTCACAGCTCGTTAGACCCTCCGGTCCGGTCTCAGTACACATAATATAGCATATATATATATATATATATATATATATATATATATATATATATATATATATATATATATATATATATCATACGGAAAAATGCATAACTCAAGTAAGAACATACGACCCTCTGGTCACACATAAATACCACTCTAGGTAAAGTATAGTGAGAAGACTCACCTCGTAAGAACTGGACAACCTCGAACTCGAATCACCAGTCTAGCCTCCGCCTAACACACACAATAATTATCCCTAATTAATAGTTGCTCTCATGAAGCTAGACTAACCCTTCCAAATACTCACAGAAGGGTAAAAGACCATTTTACCCCCTCCATGGCTCAATAGACCACACGTTGACCAAAACCCTAAAAGTCAACCAAAATTCAACGACAGAGAGTACGCTACGCATACCAACTCTCTATTATGGGCGTAATCAGCTGCCATGCAGATATCGGGGATGCTCGACCCCTACGCTGCGCGTACTAGGATTACGGCCATCGTAAGTCTCAGTTTCACTCTTCTCACATATTTGGTCTTAATCAGTTAAGACCTTGGCTCATATCACAGATCTGGACTCTCTAATATCTCTTAATCCATAAAGTTAGTGACTTTAAGCCTTTGCATGGCTGAATAGGTCACAGACACTCAAAACACTCATTCTCTTTCCTCATAAAGCTCATAACTCATGCATGGCTTACTTCTAACGTCCAAGATTGGATTTATATGACTTTACTCCATAAAATACACTAAAAGGGGTTGATCAAGGTCTCTGGAGCTCCTTATCTCATAAAGTCTCCATCTTTTGGTACAAAACCCTAAAATACTCCATATAAATACACAAACCAAAAGAGTGAGAAAGCTTGAAGCTTTATACCTCTATGTGAAGCTTTCCACACAGCTAAGCTCAGATCCAAAGGCCTGGACTCTCACTCCTTATTCTCCAAGGCTTCTTCTCCACTTCAAGAACACAAGATTACACTCACAAGCTCTCAAATGCACTCACAAGCTATAAGAACGATGATTTAGGGTTAGGAGGGTTTGGTGTCTGGGAATGGTGGCCAGGAATGAGGCCATCATATCCTTTATATAGGGGACTCACCAATAATTTAGGTTTTCATTCTGGGCCTAATACGCCTAGCGTACCCTCTGGTACGCCCAACGTACTAGGTGGTCTCCGCGTCAAATGCACGCATATGAGTACCACCCGCGTACACTCTAGTACGCCCCGCGTACTCATTTACCACTTTTTTCTAAAAAGGGCCAAAATGGACAAATGCTCAAAAGATCAAGGTTTACAGGGTATACCTGGACATGGGATGTTACAAGTCCTCCTCTACCTCTTCCTCGTCTTCTTCTTCCTCCTCCTCTGGATCCTCTTCGGGCTCTTTTTCCATTATTTCCTCAGGATCCTCTTCGATCCACCCCCATTTCCCTGGCTAGGGAAATAGGGGTCTCCGGGCATGTGGAATCCTGCCATGTCGTCTGTAGAGAGATAAGAAATGCATTAAAGGTTTAAGTGTGTGACTCTGTAATGTTCTAAAATACTCCTATAGTATTTTAACTTTATGTTTGATTCCAGAGGTTCTTGCTATATAGGGTTGGTATGTTTTAAACTCGTTGTTCACCACAACCATTCCAGACACATGTTTGTCATATCTCGCATAGATATAGTTGATCAGGCTATATTCATCCAAAATATGATTACATAACTATCTAGGCTTAATCACAGCGTCTAACTTATCTAAATACTTTTATATGGCTCTTATTACGACACTGTTCTAGTATGTATACATGAACGTATACTTTTATAAAAATACTTATATTTCAAAAAGTATACTTTTAGTCAGAGTGTTTTAGCCCCATTGTATTTATAGTTGTATATCTTACATGGTTTGATATACTTAGTTCACTATAAACAATGCTCTGATACCAATCTGTCACACCCCCAAACCAGAACGGCGAAAACGTTTGGGAGTGGATGATTTTCATGTATAGTATCATAACAATTGAATAGTAACGATCAAAGCATTACAACCATTGTATTGAATATTTCATAAGTTTACATTGTACTCAAAAACATTGTTTACATGATATCATATGCATATGACAAAAATAAATAACGTGACACGACGACGCCCCGTCCACCAGAAACTCTTGTGATTACCTGTTTACTGGTTTCCTGAGAATACAAGTGATTTTGAAAAGTGTCAACAATTAAGTTGGTGAGTTCATAAGCGTTTTGTATGAGAAGGATTTGTAACTGTTTCGTGTAAAATGATAGTGAAAATCCAATATTTTCTTTAAAAACGAGCTATAAGTCTTAAACCCAATACTAAAAATGTAAGTAATGTTGTATTGGGAAATAGTGTTAAGAAGTTTTGTCTTTGTATAAAACTACTTGAATGTATGTTAACCCGTAAACCAAATGTGTCGTTGTTTCCCCATGTGAGTTCTTATAACCGCAATATGATTGATATGCCTGTTGCGACGTTCTTCAGGCGTCGGAATGTTAACGACATTTGTCACCCCAGACCTGCCGGTCCAACTGTAGCTAACAACTAGGGTGTGGGATTGTTAGTCCCATATAGATCTATACACAAGTGTCTCGTTCTCCCTCCAAGAGACTCTGATTATAATTCATGACTTTTGTTGGTACTTAGGTAAGTACTTGAAGACGTGTCTCACAAATAATTGATTCAACGAGTTTACGTGTAATGAACTGAAATTCCTTTTTCTTGTAAATGAAATAATTATACCTTCAAATAATTATATGTTTCTTCCAAAATGATAATGTAGTGTTTGTGACTCCCAAACTATACAAATTATAGTTTATTATGTTTGTTTGATAAGACTATTTATATAATCATTTATATAAATACATAGTAGTTATCTTGTCTAGTTTCTAAATGTATGGTCAAAACACCATATTTTTGGGTTGTAACCCCCAAAATGGTGAAATAACTAAAATGCAACCCCTTGTTGTTAGGAAAAACTATATTTTGGTAAAAAGCTTCAAAAACCTTGACGTTTTGCTATCATAATTTTTCTTATGATTTTATAACATAGATTATGTTTTGTTTTTTGTTAGTTTTGCATTTCAAAACTAAGATATATCACAAATAGTTGTGTAAAAGCTAGTGATAACCATATCTCATGCAAACAATGTCTTATATTTAACATAAAGATGAAACTTGCAAGTATTTGTGTGATAAACCAAAATTTTACTTGTATTCCCTCCCCCCCTAAAACATGAAAAACTTGAAAATGTGGGGGTATGAACTCACATTGAGTATGGTTGTGGGTTGTTTGGAGAGATGGTGTGAAGATCTCCAAGCCTAAACACTTGAATTGGGTTGATGAACTCTTTGAAGATGATCTTATCCTAAAAGTTTTAACACGTAATAATGTGTGTAAAAGATGAAACTAACATGAAAGTGTGTAAAAACACTAGATTAGCAAGAAAACTTACCAAAACTTCTATGGATAAACTTGGAGAATTTGAACTTGGAAGATTTTTGGCTTGCTTCTTGAGAGAGTTTGGAGTAATCAGAAGGAAAAATATGGAATTGGTGGGAGGTTTGTGGGTGATTTCGGCCCAAGCTAAAGAGGGAAATATGATGGGATATTTGCTTAGTTATCTGTTGGTTAAAAGCATGGATATTTGCTGGGTAATAAATCTTATGGGAAACTGTTGTATCAATCAAGTCACAAAGTCAACACTTCCTTATCCTTTCCTTTCTTTCCCACCAAAATCCCTTAGCATGACCGAAATCACATGTGATTTCGGTCCTAGGCATGATTTGATCAAGTGTGATTTCGGCCTAACTATGATTTCGGCCATGACATCACCCACTAAAGGGTGATTTCGGTTTTGGCATGGGATTTGGGTCCTTAGCATGATTTCGGTCCTAAGCCATCCACAAATGGTGGTTTTCGGTTTGGTATTACCCACTAAAGGGTGATTTTGGTTTTGGTGCAAACCGAAATCACTTAAATGGTTGGGGTCCTAGGCCGAACACTCTAAGGCAGGGTTTAATTTATGATTTTTGTTCTAACTTGTTGACTTTCAAATGTTCATTGCGAACATGGTTTTCAAAGTATATATGTATTTACTTATACAAAATGATGTCTTTTGGCTTTCAAGGATTTATTGCAACAAAGTTATAATGTGGTTTTACTTATACATAAACTTGTTTAAAACACACTATTAATGTTCTAATAGTTTGTTATCAGTTTTTACCAAAAGCAAATAAAATAAACTTGTTTAAAACACACTATTAATTTTCTTCACCACGGTTGTTTCTCTTTACTCACTTCGTGTATTTAACAAACTCCATGTGAACTAATTTTACTTCACCATGATTGAATCTATTAAGTGTGCTCTAATCCACGTTAAAAACTATATGTTAACTCAAATTCAGTTAGATCTAAAGGGGTGTTTGACTAAACTTATTAAGGGCTTATTTTTGCTCATTTTTTCTAGCTTATTTTTCATGATCTCGGTTTATTTTCTTAGTGTAAATCATAATAAGCTCTTAAGTTGAAAAATAAGTAAAAAAAATGAGCTTATAAAAATAAGCTCGAAAAAGACACCCTTAATAAGCTTAGCCAAATACCCCTAATTATACCATCATCTTAAAAACATAACATGACATAACTTTAGTTATAACAATCGTTTACAAAATATAAATGATTTACAAGTTTTTGTAATGTTCTGTATTATAAAAAATTAAATTAATTAAGATGTTATCATTTATAACCGAATACAAATATTTTGTCATTTATAACCGAATACAAATATTTTGGCTAAATATGTGTTAAATTATTTTGAGTTGGTATCGGTAAAAGGTAAATGGTAGGTCGGTGAAAAGAAATATATAAGCCCTCTCTGTGCTGCCTTTTTCTTTTTGTAAATCGTTCCTAGGACGACAGTAAGCTTCTTTGCTTGAGCAATTCTCTCTTTGTTCTTCCCTTTTCACTCTTCATTCTTCCCTTATCTTTCATACCTACATCTACAATCGCACGCAAACACTTTCAATTTCTCTCTCTGATCAACCGCCGGCAAACCACAAGGGAAGAAGAAAAAACCCTTGCCTCGAAAACCCTTGAATCGAACCATTGGTTGATTTCTTCAATATTGATTCCCCACTATCTGATATTTTGTCAATTCGATCGTCTTTGACGCTAATTGATCGTATTTAATACTAATCGTACGATCAACGAATCGATCGGTTGTGTTTTGTGGGCAATGCTATTTGTCACGTTGATTTCAATATGAAGTTACGGAGAAGGAGGGCATCAGAAGTGGTTAGTGCAGTTATTATATTCTTTTAGTCTTTTATTTTATTGGAAGTTGTGTAATGGAGTGTGGTAGTTTAGGGTTTATTCAATTATTTTAGGGTTTTTTAATCGGGAATTAACATGATGGAGACTAGCGGTTTGTTCGATCGTTTCTTTCGATCGATAGCGGTGTTTTTACTATTTGAATGTACCAGTTTTACGCATGCCCACTCATATGATCTTTTAAATTATTGGAAGATTGATTTTTTGTTTACTTGTGGCATTTGTATCTTATTTATTTAATGTTTTCCATTTTGGCTGTTTTTTATCAGTAAAATTTTGGATTGCTTTGTACACTTGATTTTTGGTATTCCAGTAAACTCCACACTCTCAAAAATTATGGATTCCTAGAAATCCCCATCCCCATCCTCTAGGTAGAAGCTTTTGTGTTTACATGAACTATCAGATATTTTGATTCAAAACTAAACGTAAGTGTTTCCATATGTCACTTCCTTATGTTTCCCACTCTATATGACAATTAGCAGCTTTTTATCCTTGGATTCATCATGTCTTCAATGATGAAAATTGAATTAGTAAAATTCTTTAAAAGCCATGCTGACAGTTGAATTCTGTATACTTTGATTTGTTTAAATGTTGATGATACATGTTGTATGCTTCTTTTCATTGTGCATCAGCCTCCCAAAATCAAGTCATTTATCAATGGTGTAACTGCTGCTCCACTTGAAAGTATCGAGGAACCCTTGAAAAGCTTCTTCTGGGATTTTGACAAGGTACATCTACATTCCTATCCGACTTAGCCATATAATCCTGCTTATATATGGGTTGTTTGTGATGATTGTTGTTGATACAGGGGGACTTCCATCATTGGATTGATCTATTTAACCACTTCGATACTTTCTTTGAGAAATACATAAAACCAAGGAAAGATTTGCAAGTTGAGGATGATTTCTTGGAGTTTGACCCTCCCTTCCCAAGGGAATCCGTCCTGCAGATTTTGCGTGTTGTTAGAATAATATTGGAAAACTGCACAAACAAACACTTCTATAGCTCCTATGAGGTAAAAAATCTATCTTTGCACTTCATAGTTACTTCTTATTTTACTTAGTAAGTTACTTATTCTGGATTGATACGATGCAGCATCATCTTTCTTCTCTACTGGCATCCACTGATGCGGATGTGGTTGAAGCCTGTCTGCAAACTCTATCAGCTTTCTTAAAGAAATCAATTGGAAAACACATTATAAGAGATGCATCCCTAAATTCAAAGCTATTTGCTTTTGCACAAGGTTGGGGTGGGAAAGATGAAGGACTTGGATTGGTTTCATGTGCAGTTGAAAACATATCCGACTCAGTAGCTCATGAGCTGGGTAGCACTCTCCATTTCGAATTCTATGCAGTGAACGAGTCATCACACGAGTCAAATCAAGGGCTACAGATTATCCATCTCCCTAAAATCAATACATACGAAAAATCCGATCTTGAACTTTTGCACAAGTTAGTTGAAGAATATAAAGTCCCACCTAGTTTAAGATTCTCACTTTTGACAAGATTACGTTTCGCAAGAGCTTTCACCTCTTTCACTGCTCGACAACAATACACATGTATTCGCTTACATGCGTTTGTAGTTCTAGTTCAAGCATGTGGTGATACTGATGATCTGGTCTCCTTTTTTAACACTGAGCCCGAGTTCATCAATGAATTGGTGACTTTATTGAGCTATGAAGATGCAGTTCCTGAAAAGATTCGGATTTTAAGTCTGTCTTCTTTGGTTGCACTCTGTCAAGATCGGTCCCGCCAACCGACTGTGCTGTCTGCTGTGACATCTGGCGGACACCGTGGCATCCTGTCTAGTCTCATGCAGAAGGCTATTGATTCTGTGGTTAGTAAATCGTCTAAAGGGTCTATTCTTTTTGCTGAAGCTTTACTCTCCTTGGTCACTGTTTTGGTTTCTTCCTCTTCTGGGTGTTCTGCTATGCGTGAAGCAGGGTTTATACCAACACTTTTACCTCTTCTTAAAAACACAGACCCTCAACATCTGCATTTGGTTGGGACAGCTGTACATGTTCTAGAAGCTTTTATGGATTACAGTAATCCCGCAGCTGCTTTATTTAGAGACCTTGGAGGGTTGGATGATACGATATATAGACTGAAGGTAGAAGTTTCTCATGTTGAAAATGGATCAAAGCAAGAAGGTAGTACGTCTGTTGAGATGGAGAGTTCTGAATCTGATCATGATCAACCTCTTTATTCTGAAGCTTTGGTGTCATACCATAGGAGGTCTTTAATGAAAGCTTTACTACGTGCTATATCACTTGGAACATATGCTCCTGGAACCACTGCACGTGTTTATGGCTCTGAAGAAAGTTTGTTGCCACATTGCTTATATGTGATCTTTAAAAAAGCTAAAGACTTTGGTGGTGGGATGTTTTCACTGGCGGCGATTGTCATGAGTGATCTCATCCATAAAGATCCTACTTGTTATTCGATCTTGGAAGAAGCTTCTCTTCCTTCTGCATTTTTGGATGCTATAATGGATGGTGTGGTTTGCTCTGGTGAAGCGATAACATGCATACCTCAGTGTTTGGATGCGTTGTGCCTTAATAACAATGGCCTTCAGGCTGTGAAAGATCGTAATGCTTTGAGGTGTTTTGTGAAGATATTTACATCAAGAATGTATCTACGCGCTCTTATGGGTGATACCCCGAGTTCATTGTCTAGTGGTCTTGATGAACTGATGAGACATGCTTCTTCTCTACGTGCACATGGGGTGGATACACTGATTGAGATTCTGAAAGCCATTGAAAAGCTTGGATCTGGATCTGGACCTGAAGCTACTTCCTCAACTGTGGATGCTCCAAGCTCTTCTTCTGTTCCAATGGAAACTGATGCAGATGATAAGATTGAAAATCCTGAGAAGGGTCCTGAACAACCTTCTGATGCATCTTCGTTGAATGTCGAGACCTTTCTCCCTGATTGTGTTAACAATGCTGCTCGTTTACTTGAAACAATTCTTCAAAATTCTGACACGTGTCGTATATTTGTGGATAAAAAGGGAATCGAAGCTGTTTTGCAGTTATTCACCCTACCTTTGATGCCTTCATCTGTGTCTGTTGGACAGAGCATATCTGTGGCTTTTAAAAACTTCTCTCCACATCATTCAGCATCACTTGCTCGAGCATTATGTCTTTTCTTGAGAGAGCATTTGAAATTAACAAAAGAGCTTCTCGTTTCTCTTGGAGGTATGCAGCTTGCACAGGTAGAAGAGTCTAAAAGGACAAAGGTGTTGAGGTGCCTTTCTAGTCTTGAAGGTATCTTATCTCTTTCAAATGCTTTATCAAAGGGGACAACTAATCTTGTGTCCGAATTGGGAACCTCTGATGCTGACGTGTTGAAAGATCTTGGAGTTGCCTATCGGGAAATACTCTGGCAAGTTTCCGTTTCTTCTGATTCTAAAGTGGATGAAAAGAAAAGTAGTGAAGCAGAGGCTGAAAATGCCGCCAGTGCTGCTGGTGGTAGTAATGGTGGTGGTGATGGTGATGCTGCCATTGCTGCAAGTAATGAAAGGGAAAGTGATGATGATGCGAGCATGCCAGTTGTCAGATACATGAACCCAGTGTCTGTTCGGAATAGTACACACCCTCACTGGGGTTTAGAGCGTGACTTTGTTTCAGTTGTTCGATCTGGTGAAGGGTTCAGCCGTCGCAGCCGACACGGGTTGGCACGTATACGAGGAGGAAGAACGGGTAGACATCTTGAAGCTTTACATATTGATCCGGAAGCTTCCATGAGCAACACTGAAGTAAGCTCTTCCCAGGATCTGAAGAAAAAAACCCCTGAAGCTCTTGTTATGGAAAGCCTCAACAAACTTGCTTCTACTATACGATCTTTCTTCACCACTCTTGTAAAAGGATTCCCATCGTCTAATCGGCGTAGGGCTGAAACTGGATCCTTAAGTACTGCTTCCAAGAACATCGGGACTGCATTAGCAAAGATTTTTCTTGAGGCCCTTGGTTTCCAAGGGTACTCCATGGGACCGGGTTTTGATGTGTTGTCTGTGAAGTGTTGTTATCTTGGAAAAGTTGTGGATCACATGGCGGCATTGACATTTGATAACAGGCGGCGTATCTGCTACACGGTAATGATAAATAACTTCTATGTCCAGGGGACTTTCAAGGAACTACTCACCACTTTTGAAGCTACAAGTCAGTTGCTATGGTCATTACCTCATTCTGCTTCAACATCTGGTGGTGATAATGAAAATGGTGAAGGAAGCAAGTTATCTCATGGTTCATGGTTACTTGATACGTTACAGAGCTACTGTCGTCTTCTAGAGTTTTTTGTTAACTCTACCTTCCTGTTACCTCCAACCTCCACATCTCAAGCTCAGTTGCTTGTACAGCCTGTTGCTGTTGGTTTATCAATCGGGTTGTTTCCTGTTCCTCGAGATCCCGAAGTGTTTGTTCGTATGCTGCAATCTCAGGTTCTTGATGTAATACTTCCCATCTGGAACCACCCTATGCTTCCAAATTGTAATCCAGGGTTCATTACTTCAATTGTGACACTTGTCACCCATGTATACTGCGGTGTTGGGGATGCAAAACGGACCCGGAGTGGTGTTTCTGGGAGTGGTAGCCAGAGGTTCATGCCACCTCCACCTGATGAATCCACTATTGCTACGATTGTGGAGATGGGTTTTACTAGAGCAAGGGCAGAGGAAGCATTAAGACGAGTTGAAACGAATAGTGTTGAGATGGCCATGGAATGGTTGTTTACTCATGCTGAAGATCCTGTTCAGGAGGATGATGAGTTGGCGAGAGCACTTGCTTTATCTCTAGGAAACTCATCTGAGGGCCCAAAAGTAGATAGCAACACGGAAAAAACAAGTGATGTACAAACGGAAGTGGCGGAAACAAAGACACCGCCTATTGATGACATTCTTGCAGCCACAATGAAGTTGTTTCAAAGTAGTGATACGATGGCTTTTCCCTTGACTGATTTGCTAGTCACGTTCTGTAATAGGAACAAAGGAGAAGATCGGCCGAAAGTGATATTGTACCTTATTCAACAGCTAAAACTTTCTCCACTGGAGGCTTCGAAGGAGACAAGTACACTATGTATGATATCACACACAATGGCATTGCTTCTTGCTGAAGATGTTACTGCTAGAGAAATTGCTGTGAACAATGGCATTGTCTCTGTATCAATCGATATTTTAATCAAGTTCTTGGAAGGAACCGAGTCACAAAGCGAGCTTCTTGTACCAAAATGCATCAGTGCTTTGCTTCTTATCTTGGACAATTTGTTGCAATCCAGGCCAAAAGTTTCTTCCGATAGCAAAGAAGCATCTTTACCTGATTTTAAGCAAGAGCAAGAGCAAGAGCAAAAGAAGGAAGGTGTTGAAGAGAAACCTACTCCAGTTGATGTTGATAAGGAAAAAGAAAAGGGCGGGGCATTTGAAAAGATATTCGGGAAGTCCACTGGTTATCTGACTATTGAAGAGGGTAACAGGATACTCAATGTTGCATGTGATCTTATCAAACGACATGTCCCTGCTATGGTTATGCAAGCAGTTCTATTGTTATGTGCTCGCTTGACAAAAACACACACTCTGGCTCTACAGTTTCTTGAAAATGGAGGTATGATTGATCTTTTCAGTATACCAAAGAGCTCTTTCTTTCCTGGATACGACACAGTAGCTTCTGCTATCATTCGACATCTCATTGAAGATCCCCAGACTCTACAAACAGCAATGGAATTGGAGGTAAGACAGGCATTAAGTGGGACCCGCCATGCTGGCCGTGTCCCCCCTCGAACATTTTTGACATCAATGGCACCTCTTATTTCTAGAGATCCTGAGGTGTTCATGAAAGCAGCAGCAAGCGTATGTCAGTTGGAAACAACAGGAGGGAGAACTGTTGTTGTTTTGTCCAAGGAGAAGGAGAAGGAGAAAGAGAAAGAAAAGGATAAAGAAAAATCAAAAGCACCTGGTGTTGAAATTGGTATATCTGAAAATAAATCTCAAGATGGGCCAGCAAAGTGTGGTAAAGCCCAGAAAAAGATTTCTGCTAATCTGACACAGGTTGTTGATCACCTGCTTGAAATTATATCAAAATATTCTGAGGAAGATTGCGTTAGATCTGGTAATGCTGCCATGAACATGGAGATAGACGAGTCTACTGCCAACAAGGGTAAAATGAAAGTGGATGAAACAAGGAAAGAATCAGACAGTCAATCAGAAAGATCAGCAGGGTTAGCTAAGGTGACATTTGTCCTCAAGTTGCTGAGTGATATTCTTCTAATGTATGTACATGCGGTTGGAATAATTCTGAAACGGGATCTTGAGATGTGTCAGCTGAGGGGATATAATGAGGTAGAATACCCTGGACATGGTGGGATTGTGCATCATGTTACACATCGACTTCTCCACCCTTCCATTGATAACAAGAGTACAACTACAGCCTCAGGATCTGATGAATGGAGAGGGAAATTATCCGAGAAAGCTTCGTGGTTTTTGGTGGTTTTGTGTGGTCGCTCAAGCGAAGGGCGTAGGCGTGTCATTAATGTCCTTGTGAAAGCCCTGTCATCATTTGCCAACTCAGCCAACAGCTCATCTAAGGGCAGTTTATTGCCTGATAAACGGGTTCTTGCTTTTGTTGATTTGGTTTATTCGATTTTGTCTAAAAATTCATCTTCCGGCAATGTACCTGGTTCCGGATGCTCTCCTGATATAGCCAAAGGAATGATTGATGGAGGGATGATTCCGTGTCTCTCCAGCATTCTTCAGGTACTGGATCTCGACCATCCGGACGCCCCTAAAGTTGTAAATATCATTGTTAAAGCCATGGAAGGGTTAACACGGGCCGCCAATGCAGTGGAGCAACTCCCATTATCTGATTTGGGTAACAAGAAAAAGTCGGTTAGTTTGAGTACCGGATCCGATAATCAGATGCCTGACAATAACAATAGTACCCCTGTTGACGAGATACCCGAGGGTAATAATAATAGTCAACATGAGATCGCAGATGACAATGACACTGAGCAACATGATGAAGAAACAACTCAGGATGAGGGTGGTGGTGGTCAACAGTCAAACTTAAACCAGCCACCGGCAGAACAGGAGTTGAGAATTGAAATGGACGAAACTGAAGAGATGGAAGATGGCGGTGTGTTGCGTGATTCTGATCAGATTGAAATGACTTTTCATGTTGAGGGTAGGGGTGGTGGTGATGAAGATGATGACATGGGCGATGACGGTGAGGATGACGAGGATGATGAGGATGGCGATGGAGAAGGCGATGGCGATGACGAGGATGAGGATATAGCTGAAGATGGTACTGCTTTGATGTCACTGGCTGACACGGATGTGGAGGACCATGATGAAACTGGGTTAGGAGATGAGTATCAGGAGGACGACATGGTTGATGAAGAGGACGATGATTATCATGAAAACCGTGTTATTGAGGTGAGGTGGCGAGAGGCTCTGGATGGTGTGCTGGGTCAACCGGGAGGAGATAGTGGACTTATCGACATTGCTGCAGAGCCTTTCGAAGGTGTGAATGTTGATGACCTTTTTGGGCTTCGAAGACCTTTAGGGTTTGACCGACGCCGTCAACAGAGTCGAACCTCATTTGATAGGTCGGGTACAGAAGGGAATGGAATTGGGAGTGGGAGTGGGAATGGTTTGCAGCATCCTCTTTTATTGAGACCTTCTCAGTCTGGTGACTTGGGTTCAATTCAGGAATTGGAATCGTTATCTGGTGGCAGCTTTGATGTGGCTCATTTCTATATGTTTGATGCTCCTGTTCTTCCATTCGATCATGCACAACAGTCTAGTGTATTTGGTGACAGAGTTGGAATTGGAGGAGCAGCCCCGCCGCCATTGTCTGACTTTTCTGTTGGTTTGGAGTTGCGTGCACCTGGAAGAAGAGGACCGGGAGATGGGCGGTGGACTGATGACGGGCAACCACAAGCAGGTGGTCAGGCTGCTGCTATTGTACAAGCTGTAGAAGAACTATTCATGTCTCAGTTACGCCCTCCATCCACTACAACTTCTACTCAGAGACAACATTCAGATTCCCCCTTGCCCAATGATAATCAGCCTGGTGGTGAGACTGATCAAACTAATACACCCCATCAAGACCTTAATGAAGTGGTTGAAAATGTTCAAGTTCAGCCCAACACAGCTGTAGAAGAACAACAAGCGGATGGCCACACCTCTCAAGACAATGCACCGAATAGTCACGATAACATGGAAATCGGTGATGGAAACGTTAATGTGAATGAGCAACAGGTAGAGATTTTTTTTTTTTTTTTTTGGGGTGACTTTTCTGATGCAATATGGTTTGTGGCATTTCAGGATTTGTCAGCAAATGATGAGGATGCAAGCAACCATCTGTCGGTAACCTCAGGTGATAATGTGCTACCAGATGTTGACATGAATGTTGCTGATCCTGATCAAGGAGGTGTCATGGAGGAGTCAGACAGTCGCATTGCCCGGCAGGATAACAATGGTCAACCAGATGAAACGGGTGCAACTAATGCAGATGCAGCAGCAGCCCCAAATGCAAATGGCATAGATCCAACCTTCCTGGAGGCACTCCCTGCAGATCTAAGGGCAGAAGTGTTGGCTTCACAACAAGCTCAATCTGCCCCACCCCCACCTCCGGTTGCTGCTCCTGCTCCTGTTACTGCTGAAGATATTGATCCAGAATTCTTAGCTGCCCTTCCTCCAGATATTCAAGCAGAAGTTTTAGCCCAACAACGCGCACAGAGGGTCGCACATCAAGCTGAAGGGCAACCTGTGGATATGGACAATGCATCAATTATAGCCACTTTTCCAGCTGATTTACGCGAAGAGGTTTGCATTGCATCTCCAGAAGAAGTTAAAAATTGTCAATACATACTCTAATATGGATGGTTGATTGTTATTTGTTTGTAGGTCCTGTTGACCTCTTCAGAGGCGGTTCTCTCAGCATTGCCATCTCCATTGCTTGCTGAAGCACAGATGCTGAGGGATAGAGCTATGAGTCACTATCAGGCCCGTAGCTTGTTTGGAAATAGCCATAGACTGAATAATAATCGTAGGAATGGCTTGGGATTTGATAGGCAGACTGTAATTGATAGGGGTGTGGGTGTTACTATAGGACGAAGGACATCTTCTGCTCTTCTAGAAAACCTCAAAGTCAAGGAAGTCGAGGGGGACCCACTTCTAGATCCTGATGCATTGAAAGCATTGATCAGACTTCTACGACTAGCACAGGTAATAATTACTTACTCCATCTCAATCTAGTCCCTTAGGTTATTTTCCTTTTGAAATGTGCAGAGTTTGACTTGACCATTTTCTTGATGTCAGCCCCTTGGAAAAGGCCTTTTGCAGAGACTCTTTTTGAACTTATGTGCTCATAGTTACACAAGGGCAACCCTTGTTTTTCTGCTACTTTACATGATCAAGATGGAGACTGAAGGCCCTGTAGGTGGAGGTGGATTAACAACAGTAAACTCTCAGAGGCTTTATGGCTGTCAGTCTAATGTTGTTTATGGCCGATCACAGCTCTTGGATGGTACTATGGTCTCCTCTTAACATGACACTCATGTTGTCTTCTATAAAATCTAATATCTTTCCATATATTAATTACAGGTCTCCCACCTCTCGTACTGCGTCGGGTCCTTGAGATTTTGACATACTTGGCTACAAACCATTCTTCTGTTGCTAATTTGCTCTTCTACTTTGATTCTTCACTTGTCCCGGATTCCTTGAGTCTCAAATACCATGATAAGAAGAACGATAAGGGAAAAGAGAAAGTTGTTGAAGGAGGAGGAGGATCTGGATCCGATGGTGATATACCTATTTTATTGTTTGTAAAGCTTTTGAATCAGCCCCTTTTCCTTCGCAGTATTGCCCATCTAGAACAGGTATGTATATTTATCCCTGTTGAACACAACACCACACCAGTATAAACTTTTTAAATAAATAAATGATGCATCAGGTCATGGGTCTGCTTCAAGTGGTTGTATACACTGCTGCTTCAAAACTTGATTCCCAATCTCATACCGAACAAGAACAAGAACAAGCAGCAGCAGCTACAGCTAGCTCCCAAGGTCTTCCCGCCATTGAAACTGCTACTGCTACTGCTAGTGACAATCCTCCTGCTCAGGGAGATTCTTCCTCAGCAGCAGAACCAAGTCAGGATGATAAAAGTGTGAGTGATGGATTATCCACTTCAGATGACCAGAAAAGTGTCAACATGTATGACATCTTCATGAAGCTACCACAACCTGATTTACACAATCTATGCAGCCTTCTTGGCCATGAGGGGTAAGTAATATTTACTTTTACTATCCTAAATAATCCATCTCTGTCCACCATTTCAAATATCAAAATGCTTATTCTTTTGTCCACCATGAATGACTAGGCTATCTGATAAAGTTTACCTGCTTACTGGGGAAGTTCTGAAGAAATTGGCATCGGTTGCTCCTTTACATAGAAAATTCTTTATTGTGGAGCTTTCAGATTTAGCTCATAGTCTGAGCAGTTCCGCCATCAAAGAACTCATCACTTTAAGAAACACACAAATGTTGGGTCTGAGTGCTGGATCCATGGCTGGAGCTGCTGTTCTAAGAATCCTTCAGACACTGAGTTCTCTCACTGTATCTGGTGAAAAGAGTGATGCTGATGATGATGACAATAATCAGGAGCATGTCACTATGTGGAAACTAAACGTTTCACTGGAGCCTTTATGGCAAGAATTAAGCGAATGCATAAGTGTGACTGAAACACAGCTGGCACAAAGCTCATTCTCTTCAGTTATGTCCAACACCAACACCAATGCCAATGCTGGTGTTGACCATGTCCAGGGTCAGGGTCAGGGTCAGGGTCAGGGTTCGGGTTCTTCATCTCTATCTCCTCCACTCCCTCCTGGAACCCAAAGGCTTTTGCCCTTCATTGAAGCATTTTTGGTTCTATGTGAGAAGCTTCAAGCAAACAATTCCAATTCCAATTCATCTCTCCAGCAAGAAGACACGTATGCAACAGCAAGGGAAGTGAAGGAACTTTCTGGAAGCTCATCACCAAGTGGGGTTGATGGTGCTGTGACATTTTCTAGATTTGCTGAGAAGCATCGCCGGCTTTTGAATGCTTTTGTCAGACAAAACCCCGGCTTGTTGGAGAAATCACTTTCTATGATGCTGAAAGCACCCAGGTTGATCGACTTTGACAACAAAAGATCATATTTCCGTTCTAGAATCAGACAGCAACACGATCAACATTTGGCTGGTCCACTCCGGATAAGTGTTCGACGGGCATATGTTCTAGAAGATTCCTATAATCAGTTACGGATGCGACCTAGTCAGGATTTGAAAGGACGCTTAAATGTCCATTTTCAAGGTGAAGAAGGTATCGATGCTGGTGGTTTAACAAGAGAATGGTATCAGTTGCTTTCCAGGGTCATATTTGACAAAGGTGCTTTGCTTTTTACAACTGGAGGGAACAATGCAACCTTCCAGCCAAACCCTAATTCTGTATACCAGACAGAGCATCTTTCTTACTTCAAATTCGTTGGCCGTGTGGTACTTTCCACAAATACCCTTTTTTCTTTTTTCAAAATTATAATTAAAATGTTAGTGGAATAAGGTTTTAAAATTATGTATGTTATAGGTTGCTAAAGCTTTGTTTGATGGGCAACTGTTGGATGTTTACTTCACTCGATCCTTCTATAAGCATATCCTTGGTGTGAAGGTAACATATCATGACATAGAGGCTGTTGATCCTGATTATTACAAGAACTTAAAGTGGTTGCTGGAGGTAAGCGACAAACATTGTTTATAGTTTATAATATTTGCATGCAATAATATAATATCATGGTTTGTATGTTTGTTTGTTTTTTACTAATAATGTTTACTTGGTTCAGAATGATGTAAGTGACATACTGGACTTGACATTTAGCATGGATGCCGATGAAGAAAAACACATTCTCTATGAGAAGACAGAGGTTCGTAAATTAGATTTATTTATTTATAGAATGGAGTATTAAGATGTGGTTTATTTGTATATGGTAAAAAAAAGGTTACTGATTATGAGCTGAAACCGGGAGGACGGAACATAAGGGTGACAGAAGAAACAAAGCATGAATATGTGGATCTTGTTGCTGAACATATTCTGACAAATGCGATACGCCCTCAAATAAATTCATTCTTGGAGGGTTTTAATGAGTTGATTCCACGTGACCTTATTTCTATTTTTAATGATAAAGAGCTTGAGCTGCTCATCAGTGGACTCCCAGAGATTGACTGTGAGTATATTTTGTTAAAAAACATATTTACATGATTAAATTTAACCAACCTTGGCCTTGTTAATTGTTTTTAATGCAGTGGATGATCTGAAGGCAAATGCTGAATACACAGGATACACAGTAGGTTCTGGTGCTGTTGTGTGGTTTTGGGAGGTTGTGAAAGCATTTAATAAAGAAGATAGGGCGAGATTGCTTCAATTTGTCACTGGTACATCAAAGGTATATACCTGAATTAATTATTAATGATTTTATGTAATATAATCTAATGATAACATTGATGATTGATTAGGTTCCATTGGAAGGCTTTAAAGCACTACAAGGTATATCGGGTCCACAGAGGTTCCAAATTCATAAAGCTTATGGAGCACCAGAGAGGCTGCCGTCTGCTCATACCTGGTTAGTTTAATTTAGAATTTTTATTTGATTAAATTTAAATATGTATATATATTTATTTTTATTTTTGTTTCAGCTTCAACCAATTAGATCTTCCTGAGTACACATCAAAGGAACAGCTTCAAGAGCGGTTGCTGCTTGCTATCCATGAAGCTAGTGAAGGTTTTGGGTTCGGCTAGTCATTTCAATTTGTTTCAGCTATATGTTATTATGTATAGATGTAAGTATCCCTCCATCACTTCCTTTCTACTATCCTTCATTTGTTTACTTTTGATTCCTATTTCGTTTTGTATAATGAAGAAAGTTAGGTTGATTTTTCTCAGATAAAGAATGAAGATTGGTTATGAATCGTGATGCGTTCGTGAATTTTGAAGAACAAGTCATGACAAGAAAGAGAAAAAGTGATAGACTGATGATATTCTTGTTATGTTTGAACAAGTGGGTGGTTGGTTGGTTGGTTTTTGGGGCTCTATTTGTAAGCATGGAAAATGCTGTGGTCTTATGGGTTGCTTTTGCTTCCTTCTTAGTAGTTTTAGTTTTAGTAGTAGAATAATAAAATGATATAATGATGGAAACTTGACAAAACATGAAACATCCACTGGCTTGGCTTCCTGTAAGTAAATTTTATTACCTATTTTTTGCCTGGTTCCAATTTGGTTTTGTCATTCATTCACTTTACCCTTAAGCTTAGCTAGCTAAGCTTTGTCAAACTCTCTTTGCTCCATTTACCCAAATTTTCTTTTCTTTGTGGATATATATATATATATATATATATATATATATATATATATGGTGCAATTTATTAGAGATATAAATATAAGAAAAGGACAAAAGAATGTATGTATTTGGATTAATTTCACCTTCTTTCTTTTCAATCGTCTGAGGTTCATCTACATATAAAGAAGTGACACGGGTTGACCTTGACCCAATACTTAAGTTTTGATGGTTGGTTTTATTTAACACGTGGAACTACATACCAAACCAAAAGCCTAACCTAAGAAAACCAAACCTGTTGGTTAGTTGAAAGTTCCTTGGTTAAGCATTCCATCTGGCCTGTCGGAATGGATGTTGGATGTAGATGCAACGTTCAAAAATTTCTACATCATGTTTTTCATTTTCCCATTTCAGTTGATTTTCATTCGGGAGAAAAAACGCCATTAAAAAGAAAAATAATAATTGATGACATATCTTCTGGTTAAAATTTAATGCTCTCGTGCTTGATGCAATTTGATTAAATATGCTAATGTTACAAATACCAAATTATTTTCCAATTCCATCTGATTTTTTATGTCTATTTTTTTTTTCTATTTTGTTTTTTTGTTCCTTAAATTTTTATTTTATTTTATATTTTAATCTTATTATTATTACTGTTATTATTATTATTATTATTATTAGTTTCGATAACCGTATAAAATTCGGACAACATTTTATAAATTCGGATAACATTTCAGATGATATTATAAATTCAGACGACATTATAAAATTCAAACAACTATCATATCCGGTGATGGGGAGGGGCAAGAGGGGCTTGTGCACAAGACCCATTTTTTTCAGGGCCCAATTTATTTACCTATATTCTATGTAATCATAATTTGAAGTCCAAATGTTAAACTCCAGCGTCCCGACATCCAAAGGGCATATTATCAGTCGATTAATTGATCAACATTCAACGACGATTCGAGTTTTCTGTTGAGTGTTGATCATTCAGATTTCAGAAACCAGAAGGCGGCAACGATATATTATCATTTATCAGTCAATTATTCCATTTTTCTTGTTTTCTTTTTGTTCCAATCAATCATTCACTCCTGCTAACTGTTAGATTTTTATCAGATTATAGTTAGTTCTATAATTTTCTAAATGTTGACCTTGAACAAGATTAATAGATTATCATTTATCAGAAACTAAATGTTGAAATCAGAAATCAGATTATGAGAAATCAGAATATGTTAATTGTTTATTAGAAATTGAAATCAGATTATCAGTTTATGCTAATCAGGTAATCGGTTATTTCCCCTTTGGTATATATTATGTTCACTTGTGTTCATGAAAGGCCTCTCTATTTGCTTTATGCATCTGTTTACTGTGTGAAAATTGAAAAAAAAAACATTTTCTTGTAATGTTGCTATATTAAGAATTGACACTTCTTAATATGCTACGATATGCTTTTTAGGTTCCTTAAACTTGTGCTTCCAGTTGAACTTGGTATATGAGAATAATGAAAAAGCTTGTTTGTTTATCATGGTTGTCAAGAAAATGAACTGAACTTTCCAATTAGGATGTAATTATATCTGCAAACTATGGTAATTGATCTTGTTGAGTTTTGTGAGTTGGACAATGAGTGATCTTACTCATTTATGTTGATTGCTTGTGTGGTGTTTTTCAGGTGACTTGTTTGTCTTATTGAATGTTTAACTGGATGAAGGTTAGTACTTGATACATATTGCAAACTGAAGCCTTCTTTGGGGAAGCATCTCTAAAGGTTAGTACACTTGAAATATTATTCATTTATAAAATGTGGTTTTCCATTTTTCATAATACTAGTTTTATGGGTGCTGTTAAACATTTTTGTATGTTCTCGTGGTAGACAAACTACATATACATTGATGCACATAAAACATCGCCGTTTAAAAAAATAATAGTTTATATATATAATTTAATTTGTTATACATTAGGGCTTAAGAGCCTTTTTTTCCAGCTCGTCTTGAGCATTTGAATCCTCATGACCGGCCCTGACGGCTATATGAAATGAAACAAAAGCAAAGTTTGTATTTATTTATCACGAATATTAATTTGTTCCGTATTACAATTGTGTAGTGCGTTATGCGGATTAAAAAAGCTCTTTTTAGTCAATAATAATAATAATAATAATAATAATAATAAGTAAGCTTTTTTTTATCCAATATGAAAATATCATACCTAAAAGTTTTACAAATGAGCAAAAGTACCTATTCTAATATGAAATTGCATTTGTAGTGTATTCCAATAATAATAATAATAATAAGTTTTATTTTTTAAAAATAATTAAAATAATCTAATAAAAAAAAAGAAAGAACATCAAAAAAAAAGGAAAAAAAAAACAAAAAAATGATGTCAAATTAAAGGTTAATGATTGATTAGATTTTTTTTAATAATAAGAATAATCTAATAAACAAAAGAAAAAGAAAAAACACAAAAAAAAAACAAAAAAAACAAAACAAAAGGGAAAGAAACAAAAAAATGATGTCAAATTAAAAGGTAAAATTTTCCTTTTTGAGAATGGTTAAATGTGAGTAAATAGTCATGGTTAGTTGTGTATTAAGCAAAAAGTTAATATTTCTCATTTCCAAGAAATATTTTGACACCCTGTTGGATATCTGTCTTTTAAGAAATATTTTGACCCTATTAAAAATTTGTACTGATTCACATAGACGGTGCTAAAAAAACCATTTAAGGGTTTTTATTACTTTGTTTTTCGTATTACACTAATCAATCAAACTTAATATAATATTTTTATTTTTAATTATTTATAACTATGTTACTTTTTGTCACACCCCAAAACCGGAACGACGGAAACGTTCTGGGGTGGAGGACGTCATGTTTAGTATCACAAGACATGCATCATAGTAAGCAAAGTAATAAACAACCATTTCATTAGAAAGAAAGTGTTTACAAAGTATGTGATTCACATAATATAGAATACATAGCAAATAACAAAAAGACATGAAGCTATACTGCTCCATCTTCTGAATCCTAGTGCGCGTACCTGTCTACTGGTCTCCTGAGAATACAAGTTATTTTGAAAGCGTAGATCAGCATTTAAGCTGGTGAGTTCATAAGATTTTAGTGATGTAAGTAAGTTGTAAGAAAGTTGTAGAAAGTTATAGTAAGTTGTAGTAAGTTCTGTTTAGAAAAGTTTGCCTGTTCCTCCAGGAAATCCTATATTTCCTGCTTTGATGCAAGATAAGTAAAAATGACTCTACAGTCCTTTCTATGAGTATTAAATGGATACAAGTTATATAAAACTCAGAGTAAACGAACAATCGGTTGTGTGTATCTGCCCTAAGCCCACAACCAAACAAGGAACATGAAATGAGGCGGAAGGCACACATCCTATTGTTTGTTAGATCATTGTTGTATATAACCCTGACGTATTCACTTGGTACTCACGGAGTTAACTGTAATAGTTCCTTTATATTTGATGAAAAGATTCTTTAAGAAAACCCTTATTTCTTATAATAAAAATGGTAACCACAGTGGTTCCTTCTATAATCACTTAGTTTATACTAGCTATATATAATCTAATATCAAACAGATAGTTAATTGTGTGAATCTGCCCTAAGCCCAAAACCAAACAAGGAACAGGAAATGAGGCGGAAAGCACACATCCAACTACTTATCGGATATTAATTATATATAACCTTGATGTATAAACTAAGGTATTATAGAATTAACCACCTAAGGTCTTTTAAGTTATACTGGTTTAATAAAATGGATTAAACCCTTTACTGGTAAGTTTCTAGTTTTGTATTCAAAAGTTCTTTATTTGAAAAGTATGTTTTGTACTAGAAAACGGTGCATTGAATTAGTGTCCTATGACCTGGCCCATACATGGTACCCCTTATGATTACTTGGTGTATACGGAACATATATATAGCTAAGATCGAATAGATAGTAGGCTGGGTGAATCTGCTCTAAGCCCACAACCAAACAAGGAACAGGAAATGAAGCGGAAAGCACACATCCTACTACCTGTCGGATCCGATTAATATATATCCCTGGATGCATACACTAAGGAATCATAAAGTTAGCATTATAGGCCCCCTTCTATTAAATGTACTAGACTCGACTGTTCTGTTTGTCGTTTGTAAAATGTAAGTTTTCCCTAGTTTATAACTATCTTGACTCGAAAATAGTTTGCATTAACTTTCAAGTGGAACTGTCACAAAATGAAAGTAATGGGAAATTATAAGTACCCAGTTGTCTTTTGAATTGACATCCTGACGTACTGATTACCTTAAAACATGTTTGTTTTATCAAGGTCATGATGTGATGAATAGTCCACATACTATACGCTCTCCCTGCAAGAGATTCTGGGAACCAAACGCGACTTCAGCAAACCTGTTGCTGAGCCGTGAAGTAGGCTCACATTAAAGTTATATGATCCTGTATATACCCAATTTTACTATCACCTTTTGTTTAGAACAATGAGTTAGTGATTCATTGGTATAATTAGATCCTGTAGTTGTTCTATGCTATAGCATCTTAGTATGTTCGTTTTGTTATCATGTATAGTGTATAGTATGTCTCTCTGATGTATTGTATCTACCTCCCTATTTCTCTTTATGTTATCGTGTATTGTATCTACCTCCCTGTTTCTCTTTATGTTATCGTGTATTGTATCTACCTCCCTGTTTCTCTTTATAGAATGTTCTAGCATCTAGTATGAACTGAACCTCTAAATTATACCCCTTATAGTTTACTAGTATTTTACTTGAACTGTTATAGAAAAGACTCATTTTACTACTAACTTATGCTTGTACTTTAAAAATGGAGTTTTGTTAAACTATAAAGTAACATAACTTTAAAAGAGTTTTTGAAATATTTTGATCACTTATAAAAGACATAAGCAATCTTTTGAAAGATGTTTATAAC